GGACGGCCGGTGCGCGGCGGCCGGGCCGGGTGTTCCGGGGTGGGCGCCGCGGGTCCGCCCCGCCGCGCCTCCCGGACCAGCACGTTCTGTGTAGATGTCCGTTTCTTTTACAAAGCGCCGCTGTTCAGACCCGTTCGTGTGTCTGCAGTTTTATCAACAGTGCGTGCTGCAAGTAATCGATGTGCCATCCAGGGATGTTGAGGTCTCCCGCAGTCGTGTTGTGGGGTGCTGTGTTCGAGAGCCACAAGAAGAAAATGAATTATTGCTAAAACTTCTGATTAAAAACTATAGATTCAGTTTCTGTCAGTTTGGCATCTACGGGTGTGTGCCTCCGATACTGATGGCTGGACGTTTCCTCTTCTTAGAATTAATTGTGCACCCACCACATGGTTGTTCCAGACATCAACACACGTAGGTGTGGCTTTAGTATCCGCCCAGCCCCAGCTTTAGAGAGGGCCAGCCAGCTTCGGTTTCTCCTCCCAACCTCATGGTTTTCCTTTAGGTGGGTGCTGTCGAAATGTAGGAACCACCCACGGACACATTTGTGGGGGCTGCTAGCAGTTGAACCCAGCGCCCAAGTGCCCCATCATTGAGCGGCATCCTTAGCTGCTTGCCCTTCCGCGGTGTCTCCCTCCCCTCCCATCCCCACCTTTTCCTCTCCCCGTCCCTGCCCCTCCCCTCTTTTCTTTCTGGGCTTTTGGGTCAGGGTCTCACTACACAGTCTTGGCTAGCCTTTAACTCACCATATAGCTCAGGCTGCCCTTGAACTTGAGGCAATCCTCCTGTCTTAGCCTCCTGAGTGCTGGGATTACAGGTATGCACCACCACTCTGGGTCTCTCCCTCCTAAAGGAAATAAATGAGCAATGTTTGTGGTAGGAAAAATTTAGGAAAAGCTGGATTCAGAATGGTACCTATAACAGAATCAAATAATATTCAAGCTCTGTAAAGTATTCCTGTTGTCTCTTGCTTCCCACCAATGACAAACATGATACTAGAAAAATTATTCTTGGATTCTAGCTACACTAATGATTGTGTACAGGTACGGCTTGCTGTGGAGGCTGCACGTAGCAGCTGGCAGCAGCCCATCACCTCCACAGCAGCCTTACCTTGGCCTGTGCCCTAGCACAAGTTGTTACTAATGGTTACTAATTCAGAAAGTGCATTGTTGGCCTGTAATGGTGGATGCTACCCAAGCAAAAAAAGTATTAGAACAAAAACTTTAGACATTAAATTTAGCAGCCTCTTCAGGCTCTCAGCAGAGTGGCAGAAAGTGAAAGCAAGCCAGAGCACAGGCCTGATTTGCAGCTTCCAGATGCCAGGGCCAAGGGAATGCCATGGTGTCTTAGGGAACTGACCGTAACAGCCTGTGCACAGGGCACTCAGCAGGCGCCTGCATGCTGCTGTGGAGAGTGTCTCAGTCACTCTTGTGTTCCTGAGACAAAATACCTGACACTCATAACCTAAGGGAAGAGGTTTACTTCGGCTCACAGTTACAGTCCGTGGGTGGCTGGCTTCCAGGTCACCCCCAGTCCTCACCTTCAGCTGGGCCCCACCTCCTCCAGCACAGCCAGGAACCACCTGTGCACAAACCCACTGATGAGTGTGATGCCCCTGTGATCCAGTCACCTCCAGGAGACCTCCGTGAACACATAAGCCTGGGGGGACATCTGGACCCAGGCACAGCAGAAGGCATGGGGGGCGTTCTGAGCAGGAGCAGGCCTCGTCCTGGGAAACCCCACCTCTGGGCCTCTCCCCTGGCTCCCCCAGCCTCGGTGGAACACAAGGGGTCCTTTCCCTGGTGTCTGGCTTCTGTGGAGTCCTGGCAGGAGACTGGGTGGATCACTGGATGGAGCCACCATGAGGCCCTAGAACCAACTTCTTACCTCACTTTCTCGTGTATTCTGTTGCTTTCTCTTCTCCCAAATTAAAATCACTGTGCTGGGACAATACTTGACTTTCAGTGAATTTAAATTCTAGATGTCTGCAGGCTGTGGTAGAATAGTATCCTTTTGTTTACACAGGGTCAGCATGCTGAGCCTGTTTTATTAACTGATAATAACACAGTCTTTACTAAGTTTTTACTAAGAATAGCCTTTTCATTCTGACCTGGAAGTTACCTTACATGCTTTGAAGTGTGCTATGTTCCTACCAACATGGCTGATGGAGTTTTGGTTTTGTGTTTGTTTTCCAGTTATGAGAAGCCTCCTCCTGGGCTGATCAAGGTCAGTGCGATGCCTGCACGCTTGGCTGTTCTGGTGCACTTGCTGCACACACAGTAACTTGCTCTGAGAGACGAGCGCACGGGCTGTGAACCTGCCATCCCGAAACCCCTGCTTCTGCCCTGCAGCCTCCAGACAGGCACCGCTGAGGGCTGTGCTGCCCTGGGCCTCGGTGCCCATTGGGTCAGCCTGCAATCCTGGGCTCCACACCCGCTTTCCTAGTCTGTTCCCCCAATTTCTCGGGCCACCAGGCTGGGATCTACAGGGATCTTGGTCCAGACAGAGGCCCCTGAGGAGGCCTAGACGCCACTGCAGGATCTGGGCAGTGACCCTTGCTGTGTGTCCTGCCAGAGGCTGCTGCATTGGAGGATCAACAGTCACATGCAAAAGCCAAAAAATCTGTCTCATCTTGTAGGTTCCTTTCAATTAAAGAAAAAAAAATACTGCTTGGCGCACACCTGTAATCCCAGCACTCAGGAGGCTGAGGCAGGACTGTTGGAAGTTCAAGACCAGCCTAGACTACAAAGTGAGCTGAAGGCCAGCCTGAACTGCATAGCAAGACCCTGTCTCAAAAAGACAAAAAAAGAAAAAAACCTCCTAAAAATCATTATTTTTAGTATAAATGTATGTGTTTTGTTTTGTTTTAAGACAGGGTCTGGCTACGTAGTTCAGGCTGGCCTTGAATTAGCTATGTAGCTACAGCTGGTCTCAATCTCACAGCCATCCTCCTGCCTCAGCCTCTTGAGTGTGTACCACAGATGTGTACCACCACACCCAGGTCATCTAGTATAAATTTAATACTCACAGGAACTTTTTACAAAATTAGGAGAGGGAAAAACACCTGAGTTGTAAGTGCAGTTACTTGGTTATTGCATGACCATGGCCTTCAAGGCATAGTGAGCTGCTGTGACATAACTTGCAACCTCTTTTGTTCCAGAAAACCTGTGTGTGTTAGTTCTTATGCCTGGGCTCATTACACAGATTTGCAGTTTGTGAACCTTTTCTGATCTTTGAGGCTTTTTTTTTCTTTTAGTGATAATGGAGAGTGAGCCTGGGGCCTTCACACTAAACTATATCCCCAGCCCTTTTTTACCTTTTATTTTTGAGACAAGGTCTCACTAAGTTGCCCCAGCTGGCCTCAAACTTGTGATCTTCCTGCCTCAGCCTCCCAAAGTGCTAAGATTATAGGAATGCACCACCATACCTGGCTCCTGGAATCTAATGTACATGAGAATGTGGAGCTCACAGATCCTTCCTATGTGGAGGACAGACATGTGCTTCACCAGTAACTTTCCTCTACTAGCAGCTGTGTTCCTGGTGTAGCCCTTTCCTGCCTGGCTCCTCATCTCTCCTGTCAGGTGTGACTTGCCTTTCTCCCTGGTTCCTTGGGTGACTGAGGATGAGCGCAGGAGCAAGCTGCACGGTGGGCTCCGAGCAGGAAGGAGAGAGCCCATGCCTTGGCTCCAGGTTACTGATGTGCTCTTCCCTCCATGCAGGAAGATGAGAGCAAGCCGGAAGACTGCATTCCAGATGTGCCAGGCAACGAACACGCCCGCGAGTTCCTGGCCCACGCACCCACGAAAGGACTCTGGATGCCGCTGGGGAAGGAGGTCAAAGTGATGCAGTGTGAGTGCAGCGGGGCTCCAGGAGCGCCCCTTACACGTCAGTCACATGCACACTGTGCAGGCGCATTTGGTTCTTTCTGTGATTCCTGTATATCCGTGCCATAGCCAAGGCCTGATGTCCATGGCTAGAGGAGAAGGTGCCACACAGTTTAGACTCCTGGTTCGTTGTGGTCCTCCCTAGGACCTGGGCTGCCCAGGGTACCCCCACAGAGCACACTCACGGTGCAAATGAAGTCAGGATAGGCATGCAGCAGCGCAGGTCCCTGGGCCTGGCCTTCCTGGTCCCCTCTGTCAGAAGTGTGAGCAGTGCTTTCCTGTCACCCACCCCCTCAGGAGCTCAGGAACTCTCCTCACAGAACAGAGCCTTTTGCGTTGGTTAACATGAGGTTGATCTGCACACATGTAGGGTCCTGTGGAGCTGCCCATCCTCCCTGGGCAGGTGTCAGGAGACAGTTGGAGTGGACAGTGTCTGACATGTGTCACAGACTGTCCTAGGAGACACCTCTGACAAAACCAGGCTGTCCCAGCTCCTGCTAATGGGATTGTTCACCTTTATACCAAGAAAGTGGGAAAGCACCAAACCCTGCATGTGCCGGGTCCCAGGCCATCTTTGAGGGGTTTGTTTTTATAGCATTGTCTAAAATGAGAGAAACGTCGGCAGGGCACATGGTAGTTCTGTGTGTCCTAGATCTGTCCGTGACAGGATCAAGCCTGTTCCACAAATTCATTGTGAAAGTATCAAAAATACAAGCAGAGAGCCAGAAAGCTAAATTTTAAAAAGAAGCTTTTTAGCCAGGCATGGTGGTACAACCACTTGGGAGGATGAGGCAGAAGGATCACAAGGTCAGGTCTTGCTTAGGCAACTTAGCAAAACCTTGTCTCAAAATTTAAAAAAATAAAAAGTTGGGG